GCCACGCCCCGCCCCGCCCCGCCACCGGAGGCCAGACACGAGGGGACGTTGGACGCCCAGCGGCTCTCTCACCCGCCAGCCAGCCCCGCCGAATGGGTGGCCTACCCGCCCGGCGGACTGGCCCCGAATGGGAAGAGGAAAGGGGTGCTTGCTACTCGAAACTTCTATCATTTCAACACCTATTTCTTTTATATACTCCTAAGGCTTTACAATCGTTTCCAAAATGTTGTCATCTTTTATAATTTCGGACAGTTTGTTTGATGATTTTTGTTTTTTAATTTGAGTGTTTTTGGTTGAACGTTTATCATAACATATGATATGATATGTGTTTTGTTGTTGTTTTTTCGCCTTCACGATTTCGCGATAGCTGGCTGACCCGAGTGCTCCAAGCTGTTGATGGGCACCACGTGAGAGTTGTTGGGCGCGGAGCGCGCGGGGGTACAGTCAAGTCCCGAACCCTGCTGGCGCGCGTGGGGTGCGCGCAGTGTTCACACGTGGAGTACTACGCGCGGGCGAGGTACAGTCCAGCGCAAAAGGGCACCACCACCGCCGGACCAGCCGCGTGGCGGGGCTGTTTGAGGACCCCCCTGTCGTGGACGCTGGACGTCACGCGAGATGCGTGCAGTTCACGCGTGCGCTGGCCGCTCAGCTGGACCTCGCCACCCACCCCCTTGAGGCCACGCCCACCACCCCTTCCCCACGCCCCGCCCACCGTGCGAGGGAGAGAGGCGGGAGGGGGAGGGAGTTTGGAGGCAGGAGCGACGGAGTCTCCGCAACCCCTTCCTTCACACCGCTACTACTACCCTTGCTTCTTTCCGAGCAAGCCTCCCGATTCGCCGCTATATCCTTATAGCTTGGAAATATATTTTACCGGTTTGGTTCTTGTATCCTTCCCACTTGACTTCTTCACGGTGTTCACGGTGCACCTGTCATGACAGGATAAAATTATCTTTTATTGACCCCAGAGTTATTATTTTTTTTTTATTTTTTTTGCTAACATGTAGAAGCGAAGAAGCTCTACATCAAAGTCAACAATAATCGGATCAAGTTTTTAGTTCGTTTGAATGGCCTCGCACGGGACGGCGTAGTTGTTATCAAACCGAAACATATAGTAGATGTGTTAGTTTTGTTGCATACACATACGTCAAAGCATGTCATGTAGTGTGGAAAAGATGTGCCCGGCCACGTGCCCGTTTCCCTGTTTTCCGTGCGCGGTCGCGCACCATGCGCACACACACACACACACACACACACACACACACACACACACGCACACACACACACACGTGCCACGGATTTCGTTATGCTAGGCCTCTCGGTTTTCCACATCCCCTGATGTTCGTTTTCGCATCGGTTGGGGCGAGTTCACGGAATTTAATCAAAACAGACAAACGCAAATACCTTTCGGGCAAGGAGAGAGGGGGTTAGGGGAGGGGGAGGGAGATGT